TACACACACATACACACAGACACACACAGACACACACACACATGTACACACACATGTACACACACACACACACACACACACACACACACACACATGTACACACACATACACACACACACACACACACACACACACACACACACACACACACACACACACACACACACACACATACACACACACACACACAGACACACACACAAACACACACACAGACACACACACACACACACACAGACACACACACACGCGCGCGCGCGCACGCACACACACTACACACTGCACACACACGCACACAAACACACACACACATGCACATACACGAACACACATACAGACACACATACACTACCACTACACACTACACACGCACACAAACACACACACACACACACACACACACACACACACACACACACACACACACACACACACAAATATATACACACACACACACGCACAAACACACACACTCACGTACACAAACACACCTACATGCACACACACACATAGAAAAAGAGAGAGATACGCCCCAAACACACCCAAAACAAGACCTCCGCATCCGAAGGTAATACTGGTAACCTCTGTGGGAAGGACCAAGAAAAGTAATAGTCTGTCCTTGCCCGAAGGGACTTGAAGAAAAACACACCTAACGTCCAGTTCCAAGTAGTCTTCCATGAAGCCTCCTGGCGTGCCCTTAGATGACCTGACATTACCCAGGTCAACCACCCCGGCTGAACGTCATTCCTATAATTATAAGTATAAATCATAGTTTATCACGGACTGTAAAGTCGCCTGTAAAACAAAGGCTTGAAACAGTCACGTACGTACTGGACATACTACAGTCTAGACTACATGTGACTTTGCCATATCACCATCGTGATATTTGGCATAATTTCTCGTCTTTCACAATACAGTGCTTGTTCCTAATCTCCAAGTATATCTTTCGGTGTACCAGTGGCTGCAAAGATTCGGCTTTGCAGTATCAATTTGCCAGTGATTTGGAGTAACACGAAGTATTCTGTATTACAAAACATTGTCTATTCCCAAACATGACTGTCTGGTAAATGGCAAATATTCATATTTTATTATTTTCCCTTTGCATTATGATATTGTAAGTACGAAAGGATGTGATCCATATGGGGTCAAAGTTCAAGGTCAGATAGCAAGGTCCAAAGCTACCACACTGCGATGGCTATCATATCAAAATATATTTCACAGATATGGTACTTTTCAAAAATCCTCACTCGCTACCTTAGATGTTACCAGTATGTGAAATTGTGGGTTCTGACAGCAGGGCTGGAAATACTGGGAGCATGTGCACCTTAGCGCACCCAAAATTGGAGCTGTGCACCCAATTTTTTCTGTGGGTGCACTGGTGCACCCACATATTTTTGTAGGAATTTTTAACATTAGAAATGTATAATAGTATACCGGATATTCTTGGTCTCTAAGTATCAGAAAAATAATAAAATCCTTGTTGTAGTACTTGTATAAGATTTTGAAGTTAGCTCTCATTTTAGATTCAAGCTCAGAAGAGGAGCAGTAAGACCTGCAGCTAGGTTTTGTTTTATATGCTGCACCCAAAAAAATTTTTGTGCACCTAATTTTCGAATTTTTTTAGGTTGGGTGCATCAGTGCACCTACTACCAAAAATGAATTTTGAGGCCTGCTGGTACATGCAGTGTACTGCGTGGCCAATTTGATACTGTCTTTGCAGCCACCGAAATATCTGCTCGAAGATCACTTACTCCAACGTCACAGAGATGTCATCTGAGGATGACGACCTGAGATGTGAACTTAGCTGACCTGTCACTTGCCCTTAAGACACAATAAACCTTAACAACCTACCATTCTTCGTCGAAAAAAAAACAGCTCTGATATTTTCGCTATTTCATTTCTATATTTGAGTAATGCAGAGAAGAACAATTTAATGCTCATGTGTCTGATTCCACTCATTTTACCCGTTTGCTTTTTCGTGTAGTAACCCACCATACTAGCAACCTGGGTTCAAAAACAGTAAAATTTAGCTAAATAGGGAGAATAATTGGCCAAGGGAGTTGATTGGCCACCGTAGAGTCCATTTGCCTGCGCGAGGGGTGAATGAAACCCTGAATTTTGGACCCCTGTCCGGTCAGACCCCAGTTTTGTCGAATTCTACCATCCTTGATGAAACTCTGAATAGTGGACTCACTCTCCTGGCCAGGCATACCCTATTTTTGCGGTATTCTACCATCCCAAACCCCCTTGGTGGAGGCTAGGCTTTCGTGATGATAACTTGTTTCCCGTGCTTGTAAAACATATTGATTGACCAGCACCGTCCATAAAGGGCTCGACCCGCCGGCTCTAGGGAGCAATAACCTGTACTCAAGGCCGGGCATCATCCGCGAACCTGCCCGTTAAACCCGAGAGACCTGCGCTGAGGTGAAGGTCAACCAACTTACGGGTTTGTCACAACAATTCTAGCGCTCGACTCGGAACCAAGAGGTCCAGGGTTCGAGTCCTGGCATGCCATTGATCTTAGGAAAATGCACTTTACGTGACTTTTCTCACTTAACTAAAGTGAAAATGAGTATTGTCCTGTCTTGTATTCGTCCTCTGCATTGATGAGGGGAGTTGTATGGTTTGTTTGTTTGTTTGTTTGTATGTTGGTTGGTTGGTTGGTTTAATGGCTGGTTTATTGGTTGGTTGGTTGGTTGGTTGGTTGTATTGGTTGGTTGGTTGGTTTTCTTGACATAGCCGAAAAATGTCAATTAAAAATTTCTATCGTAAGTAGAAAATGATACTTTCTATCATAGTTTTTTTACTCATAGCTTATAGACTACTCATACGCTAAGATGTTACGTATACCATTTGAGTGTACAAACATAAGGTTTAGAATATGTAACGTTATTGGTCCAGCTGCCATCTGGTATCTTCTAGATGATTCTACCTCGTCCTGAGGTAAGGTCAATTCATTGTTAGCGAGGCGGCCTGTATGTATGAATGTCTGTATGTGTTCAATAACACGGCATGCTGAAATCGTATTGCTGTCCCACATCACAACTGCCATCCGAAATCCATTCAATCATTGTCCTATTCACACCTGCCGACGTATACGTGCGTGCTTTTGCCGTAAAGCGATATTTTGAGTAGAACGGCGTCGAGAGGGAGAGAGAGAGAGTGGGAGAGAGAGAGAGGAGGGGGAGGAGGAGGGAGGAGGAGGAGGAGGGAG